AATTGCTGGGAGGTTGTCCACACAATGAGGGAAGATCTATGCTAAGAGATAAATCAAATATTTGTCTGTGCGCTTGGGAGATCACTTGTAGGTGAGGGTGAGGGTTTATCTAGGGAATCTGTAGAGTAAGCATTAAAGAAGATAAAAGACAAACTGTCGTAGAGAATGCTGAGTGAGGTTTTGGCTCATATAAAGGCTAGAGATAAATCAATTCCTTTACCAATTTCCATTAATAACCTTAAAATTGCTTAAAAAAAACTCCAAAACTAACGCTTTAGATTTCCGCCTAAACTTTATTAAAGAACAAAAAGCACAAAAATCATTTTCAGGTCAAGCCTGAGCCACGAGCACGCCCCCTGGGGGCACTGAGCACTGGGAAACTGTCACAAAATTTCATATTTCACTTTATTTGTTGTGTCGTTTGACAAATGTTTGAAATTGACAGGCCAAACAAGGAATGGAATGAATGAAAATAAAATACAGAAATACCAAAATGAAGCACCAAAAGAACCAAAGCGAATTTCAGATACTCTTGGCATCAGATACATATCAATCATAGCTATTTTTGGCCATCAATCAAACTTATGATTCACTTCAATTGTCAAAGTTTTTGCCAGCCCATGGCAGCCCCCGCGCTGCACACGGCTTTCCCCCCAGGCACTCAGGCAGGTCAGTGAAAATGTTGACATGAGAAAAGAGATCCAGTCACAAACAGAAATCAAACAATTTGTTGCCGACTTGCAACAATTGCCTACCGTTAGCTGCGGGCGGGGCAAGCTGGTGGGCGTGCCTGTGATTTCTAACAATGGCTCTGGGCATGCTCCTACAGTTTAACCCGACTCTCAACCTTTATGTTAATTTCTGACTCATTTTGGAACTGGTTTCTGCCATAGATCTCTCTGCGCTTTATGGAAACTCACTCAAGTGCATCGGGAACTACTACTATCAGGGGACGGGCGGCTACGTGCAGTGATTTAATTTTTTCAGTCACTGGAAATTCAATTAAAATACACAAAAGCCTCTCCGTCTCGCCTGGCCAGGGCCTGACCTTATCTTTCGCTCTCTCTCTGCCCCCAAGAAGAACCCAAAACCAATTATTGTTATACCCGCTCCACGTGCGAGCATGTGTATCCCCCAAATAATAAAAAAACCAGCAAAAAAGCGCTGCAAGTTAAATTGAATTTGTTATTAAAATCCAATTTGCGTAGAGAGAAAATTTGCATTTGCATCAAGTGCCTTGGCGCTGACACTTCCTTCAAACACCAGACAGAAAGTTTCATATGAAAATGCAGACTTTAAGGATGTGTATACATACATATATGTAAATATGTATACTCGTATGTACATACATATGTATACATAAGTGGTTCCTGCCACAAATCGCGCATTTGCCAGCAGCCAACAGGAATGTCATTTATTTTTTCTTCTTCACTCTCTTCTCACACGACAAATGCGAACATTTTCATAACAAACAACCAAAATATTTTTTCGCATAAACATGCAAATTTCTCACTCAAACTTGGTACATCTCAACCTCAACCGCTGTTTACCCCCAGCCCCAGCCACAGACCACTCGCTGCTCTCCTCTGCTCACTGGTTGCACTCATCTTCTCAATGAGTAATTTGCATGTAAATATGAGAAACACATATATTTGTTTATATATAGTATGTTTTACGCGGTTTGCTTTTTAGCATTTGTTCATGAACTTCACAGTAGATTCTGTGATGGAAAACAAACGTGCAAAGGGGCGATATTTAGACTAGAAGATACCGGCTAGATACCCAGAAGAGGGTTTATAATAGAGATGTCATTTTTAAAGCTCCTTTGCTTCTTCTATAATAATAGTAGAAAACATATAATAATAGTAAAATATTCATTTGATTTGGAGCTATTTTACAAGTGATCAATCGTGATACTTTAGGTGTAAAGACGTACATTTTCACGACTGCATTTCCTTGTTCTCTCATGCCCGTACTCGTACTCTTTCCAGGGTGCGTGCGCCAACCATATTTCAAACAAAGCTTTGCATTGTCAACTATCCTACAAGGAGCGAGTGCCCCGGAGTTGGGAGAAGCATCTACATATATCCGACCATAGCTTGTCTGTCAAGTGGCTGACTAACAAGTTTCGTTTTCGTCGCATCTCCTTCCCCATCCACTGCGTTCTCTCACTCAAATTTCATTGTACTCTGGGGGCCCCAAAACATTTTGATTTATGAGCAAATTAAAATAGCAAAAAAAAAATGTAATATTTACGTAATTTTTCTTGGGAAAAAGCACTGCGAAAAAAAGCAGCTATGGAACATATTTTTTGTCGTGGAATAATTACCTTTTGAGGGAATACACAGTACTCGAACGAACAGATGTGTGTGAGAATGTGAGAACAGAACGTGCAAAGTGAATACGACGACACGTGTCTGTGGCTGAAATAATGCAAAACAAATGCCTCATCGACAGAATGAATCATTCAATTCAATCAATGAACATTTGTTCATTTGGATGACTAAAAAGCCATAAATATGAACACATAAAGGAGATTGAATGTCGGGAATTATAATTATAATTGAATAATATAATCGAATATGTGTTTATGGATATGGAGACTGACATTTACTTTACTTTTTTAAAGATGTTCTTGAACTAATAAACTGTCAATATGGCTATGAATATCTTAGAAATATATCTAGAAAATGATGGAAATAAAACAGCAACAGCTTAGACGTGAGAAAGTTTTTCTGCATGTAAGAGCCTTCTTTCTGTCTCCATTGGGAGCACTATAAGTACTTTAAAGTAAAAGGTATAACAAGAACCAACAACTACCTCAATTAAATATTATGTACTTTGCATAAAAACTTGATCGTTACTCAATCTCCATCAAAAAACCATCATGAAAGTTCTTTGGAAATTTGGCCGTAATTGTGCCCAAGCCCATCTTTGCCCCGATGCTGCACAGAATCTGTCAAGTCATTTTGTGGCCACAAAAAGTGGGCAAACGCAACTGCAATATTTGCCAACTTCATTCAATTTCTGGCATGACTTGCTACTGTTCCTGATGAGCCATGGCAACAAGCTGTTGCTGCTGGAGCCACTGCCATGAGTTGGCACAAGGCCTCATCGATAAAGCAGATGCGCAGAGAGTGCAGAGTACAGAGTTGTGCCAACTCAATAAAGTAATATTGGAATTGCTTTTGGCAAGCAGTCAATTGAAAGGACAATTGCCAGCAGTCAGTCAATGTGGGCTCGTTCGATTCCCAGATACTCCGATTCCCAGTTCCCTCAACCCAAACCCAATGAACTGCTAACCCAGGGCTTGTGAGAATTTTCTGTGGCATAACTCCATGAAACCTGCTCCATATAAGCCGCAAAATATATGCATGTATGGATGGCTGGTATAGGGGCTCATTTAAATCAAATTCCCAGGGGCAACAGCAATTATGTGCAGCAGCAGGCAACAAGTGGATTCCTCTACCTCTCTCTCTCTCTCTCTGTCTCCTTCTTTCACCGCTCGCTCCGCTGGAAAATTGCCTCCGGTGTGGCAGCGACAATGCCAACAATTTTCATGCAGTTTTAGTCGCCGTTTTTTGTTGTTTTTTTTTTTACACAATTTGCATTTTTGCAACGAACGGTGTGGCATGCAAAGGGGCGTGATTAACAACTTCCCTTTTTGGGAGCAGGAATTGCCTCTTGTACACTTGGTTAGGCACTGAAATTGACACTTTAGAGGCTACCTGTCTGGCTGTCTGGCTGTCTGGCAGTCTGTCTGTGTGGCTAAAACAATAATTGTGCGAAGGCAAAAAAAAGCGACTGACAATAATGCGTAATGGAAATAATGATTGCGAAAGAGATTGGAGATTGTTATGAAAGTTTGCTTAATCAGTTTATCGGAAATTAAAGTCTTGGATTACAGAATGTGGCAGATATAATGTGAGGCAGCAGTGGAGGAGAGAAGTAGCAATGCCAAATCTCATTGGACTTATCCCATGAGTAATTCCAGCAAATTGCTTACTCAATGTAAATCTAAGCGCCATCATTAGTTGCTCGCTAAATTACCTAATAACCTAATTATAATTACCTACTATACAGAGCCAAACAAATCTCTCAACTATCAGACAGCTCATCCCGTATTTCTTTCATTTATTTTGTTCCAAACTGTTTCCAAGTGTTCACCTTAGGTGCTGCTCACCCGGAGATTGCCATGCAATGATCTCTGCCTCTGCCTGAACAATTTCTTTTGATAAGAGTCCGTGACGAATGCGCTGTACAATAGTACAATAGCACTCGGTACTAAGTAGCTAATACATAGAGGCTAAGGCTTATCCGAACTAAGTATAAGCAAGGGAGGGGATGCCACTTGTCAGATCAGAAAGAGAGATGAAGATGTAGGGAAGAGCGAGAGGCTGAAGCAGGAATGAATATAGAGAAAGGAAACGACTAAACAATGCCTCGTATCATACATCTAAAGATATAATTTTCTTTATCTTTTAGGTTAGATCTTCTCCAGTCTACTCCTTAGTTATTATCAGACCCTTATCCCTCGAAGATCTTCATTCCAACTCCTCTCACTCAGCTTTTCCTGTTCTTATATACCCCCACCCAACCATGAGCATCAAGTATCATTTTTGGAACACCAAAAAACTTGTCCAGACTTTGATAATGACATGGTACATGGCCACTGCTGCTGCTGTATAAATAATTATCAGGACGTGCAGCGAAGGGCAGCAGACAGCAGGCAGCAGCCAGACGCTGGAATCCCATTATCAGGCAAGAACCACGTGCGAAAGAGACAACAAAGAGTGGCTTGCAGGGCGCAACAGAGACAGAGACAGCAAGAGCGGGAAAGATAACTGAATGTGATAGCATGTGGCCGGCATTTCGAACAAAAAATTGTTTTGTGTTTTCGACTGAATATTGTTTTTGGTCAGACAAGATTGACTTGCAGTTTTGTCTTGTCAGTTGGCAGACGAGTGCCGGTCCGATCGCGACTTTCGATTTCGTTCAGCTTCATCCAGGGCAAACACTCGAAGCAGTCAGGCAGGCCAGCCCTGCCAACTCATAGTAATTATCTGTGAGACAAGACGAGACGAGACAAGACGAGAGAGACTCTTCTGTCCTCAGTCTATCAAGGCCCGTCAGCGTTTCAACATCATCTTCAAAGAGAACTTCACTTCACTTTCCATCGACATGTGGCTGCTGCTGCCCATTCTGCTGTATTCGGTGATCTTTCTGGCTGTGCGACACATCTATAGCCACTGGCGACGCAAGGGCTTCCCCTCGGAAAGGGCCGGCATCTCGTGGTCTTTCCTGCATCAGGCCTATCGTCGGGAATTCCGACATGTGGAGGCCATCTGTGAGGCCTACCAGACGGGTCGTGATCGTCTATTGGGCATCTACTGCTTCTTTCGGCCGGTGCTCATCGTTCGCAATGTGGAATTGGCTCAAACGATACTCCAGCAGTCGAATGGACACTTTAATGACCTCAAATGGGACTATGTCAAGGGCTACAGGCGGTTCAATCTGTTGGAGAAGCTATCGCCAATATTTGCCACCAAACGGCTGTCAGAGATGTTTGGCCATGTGCAGCGTGTGGGAGATCATTTGACAGCCCATTTGTTGCACTTGGAACAGGCACAGGGCAGGGCACTGGAACTGGATTTGCAGCAAATGTTGAGAGTGTAAGTGGAAGACTTGCAACAACCAAAGAGAGACATTCTAAGAGTTTTTCTTTCAGTTATGCCATCAACATTATAGGCAATCTTATTTACGGTTTGGATGTCAACAACTTTGAGCAAAAGGATCACATACTCAGCAGCTATGTGAGCACAGGGCATGCCAGTCTTCAGTCATTGTAAGCCAATACAAAAAACTATTTTATCTTTATTTAGTCTCTATAATTGATTCCCCAAAGCACTCTAAGGCGCCTGCCACAGAAATCCTCCTTCACCTATCGCCTCAGGGATCTCATCAAGCAAGGCGTTGAGCATCGCGAGGAGCATGGACTTATACGCAAAGATATACTCCAATTACTCATTAGATTCCGCAATGGCAATGACATCAGCGGGGACAAGTGGCAAATAGATATGGATAATGGTGAGCTAGACACAGATTTGACATAGAATTATTATCTCTGACAACTCTCTTCCTACTAAACAGAACAAGACAAACTTTTGTCCATCAAACGTGTGGCTAAAGTGGCTGAGGAGCTGCTCAAAGTATCCCTAGATTCGGTATCCTCAAATATAACACTAACACTCTTTGAGATACTGCAAGAACCACTCATAGTGGAGAAACTTCAAACTGAAATCAAGGAACTAAGCGTAGAGAATGGCTTACTCAAGTTTGAGGAGCTCGAAGGACTCAAGTACATGGATATGTGTCTTAAAGGTGGGTCAAAGGAGACCTATATTGGTGTAGAAATACAATCTTTCTCTGTACACAGAAACCAATCGCAAATATCCACCATTACCCATCATTGAACGCATTTGCCGCAAAAGTTATACGCTGCCCAACACTAAGTTTACCATTGATGAGGGCAAAACCCTGATGGTGCCCCTGCTGGCCATACACCGAGACGAGCGCTACTTCAGCGAGCCCATGAAGTACAAACCTTTAAGGTTCCTACATACAGAAAAGTCTGCGGAGTGCCAGAGCAGTGCCTTCATTGGGTTCGGCATTGGTGGAGCTCAGTGTGTGGGTAAGTTATTGGCTACCAAAAACTTAGCCACCGAAACTAAGAAAATGTATTCTCGCAGGGCAAAACTTTGCCAAAATGGTCATCAAAGTTGCGCTGATCAAAGTGCTGCAAAACTTTCATCTGGAATTGGATGCAGCGCTCATGGAAAACATAGAAATTTCGCATCAACCAGCTCCGTTTATACGCACCAAAGATGGTCTGAAAGTCAGGTTGAAAAGGCGCGAAATAAAGCCGAAATTTTACAGCTACGCTAAAAGTAAATTAGGATCGGGGAGAAACTCTTTCAGCTGTTAAGTTCTTTAATTTGTGTGTGTGTGTGTGTGTTCTGTGTCCTTTTGCAACACTTTGTTGCTTTCCTGTGCGAGGCACCTAAAATTATGCTATAAATAAAATACAGTATATTACGGTCACAGCTCGTTCGAGGTGTTCGTGTGTGTTGACTGTCGTTCCTTGTTTGCCATTCGCTTCGTTAACTTTTGCAATATGGCAAAGGTTCTGGGTGCCCCGAGCGTACGAGGCAGCGCATTAAATTCGTCACTCCAATGTGTCTGTTGTTGTTTACGCCAACTTCGCCGGGTGATAGACACGGCATTGAATTGGATTGGATAGAGATACTCGTATGGAGATACAGCACACAGATACCATAGATAGATAGCCGGAATCACAGCTCGGGCGTAAACGACATTTGCTCCAATCTGAGCTCATCATTAAATTTGATTTGCTTCGTTGCCAATACAACATGACAGAGGGATCCCATTGCGGAGGAGTGTGTCATTTCCATGGCCAAAAGTCATAGTCTCAAAACACTCAACTCGTCTGGGGACTGGGGGGCTGCCAATCCATTTCAAGTGTGTGTACGAGTACTCGCCATGGGCCAGGGCAATCAGGCCTAAGAGGCGCCTCTCTGGCTCTAATGATGCCGCAATTAGGCCGCATTATGGACACATTTATCATCCCAAAGACGGAGCACAGAGAGGGTCCCGAAGTGGACAATGTCACAAACAAATGGACTCTAATGAGTGTGCCAAGTATTTTACATTAATGAAAACTTTTCTTAGGTGGGCCCAGCCCGAAAAACCAATCACAATAATTGGAGACTGAGCCCGGGCTAAGCTCCGAGATAAATGACCTGGAAACTTTTGACCAAAAATCCAGCACAAACTTTATGACTTTTGGTTGGCACGGCACCGGAGCCCATTGGGCATTCAAATTGAAATTCAATCAAACCGACTGCTGGCTGACAGGCAGCCAGGATGTATAACAAATTTAAAGAGCCAAGAACAACGTGAGCTGCTCTTCGGAATAGACAACATTCAGAGCAAGTGGAGCTCTTCACATGAATACACACAAAGATACATGTTGTGACCCAGTTTGGGTGTTGCTGGATGGTGCTGAAGGATGCTGCTGGTGGATGGTAGCTGGCTGCTGGCGGTGTTGCCAGGGCAAGTGTCGTATATAAATTGCATGAGAGCAACCCGAGTCGAGGGAAATTTCTCGTGTTCTGGCTCCGTACCCAACTCCCTTTGGCAACATCTTCGCTGCCATTGTCCTGGTTACATTTAAACATTACTCATTCCACATTAAGCGGTCAAAATGGCAAGCTAGGAGAGCAACCTACCGACTCACAATTTGAAAAGTTAAATATGGTGCAAGACTTAGGAGGAATTTAGACTGTGGGAATACCTTTTCATTGGGCAAATTTTATATAAAATGACTGGAATGGGAATGGATAAATATACCTAATGCTTAGGGACTTCGTTCTAGATGCAATAACGCCTTCGATCTTGGAGAATTTTAGCAAAAAGATAGACAATTCATCCATCAATACATGAAGAGAAATTATAGTGTGTTTCCCAAATCCAAATAGTCATTTAAATATTGCTCAAAAAAAGCTCCATAAATCCTTGTTTGCTTTAAGCATTTATTTCATATTTCATTTCATTTCAATCTTTTCCGTGAACCCAGAACACCCTACGCCACCCACACATACCCTGGCAAACAAAAGTAAGTACAAAGTTGCTGTCCTCGCTTTGTTTTTTGCTCGTTATAAAATATTCATTTCCCTTCGCACAAATTATGATATATTTTACCTCAGGGACAGGCGGGGGAAATGGTTCCCTAAATACTGCTCGTTCTCATGTAAATTTGTACTCAAATTAGGGTTATTAACTTACCATAATTTCAAGATTTGTTTTTGCGGTTATGCTGCAATGAGAGAGAAGAAAAACGAGAAAAAGTTCATTACAAATGTGATTAATCAAGTTACATTTAAGGCTGCGTGTTATTGAACTTTAATTTTAAAATAAAATAAGCTTGCAACCGCAGCGACAAACAAACTTGAGCTGCAGGCAAAAGTGAAAGATACATTTTTTTCGAAGCAAATATAAAGCTCAACTTGAAACTGACATAAAAGGTTATCGCTGCAGTTGGCTTTTAATTAGACAATTGACATCTGACTTTGGGTTCGAGTTGACTTTGGTTTTGGCTTAGATCAAGTTGTATTTGTAGCCCAAATAAAATCACCTTAAATACCCCTAAATGGCTCGAAGAGGCTTAGGTATTTATTATCCCACAAGCACAGATAGAAATTCGAGATATTTCTGTTGTATTTTCCAACTCAAAGGTAAAGGCCGACAAAGGCAAACAGATGGCAAATATTTGCATGAGAAAAAGTGGCTGTGAAATGAAATTGTTTGGTGAAATTTTAGCATAACAAATAACAAAGAAATGGCAAAAAAATTAGACAAATATTATATGGGGTTTTGGTTAGATATTTCACACATTTTTGCCAATGATATAATATATTTTTTCGGTGTATTTATTATATAACAGAATATTTACAATAAATTATGCAAATAGCAATTGTTGCAGTTTTTATTCGCAATTGTTGCAGTTTTTATTCGCAATTGTTTCAGGTTTCTATTGGCATTTCTTTCAGCCTATATTTTATTTAGAGTTTAGTCGAGTGGAAGCATCACTTTCATTTATTCATTAAAATACATCAAAATGCAATTCTCTCTTTCACATTCCTTTTGATTGAACTAGAAACTCGTTAAAGATTCTGCACTTATAAGTGCGGACATTTTGGTTGAGTTTCAGTTGACTCCCCAGCAATAATCTCCACTAATTGGATGAGAACTTTTCTCATTCACAAAAAACAAGAGCTACCCACATGCCACAGCGTGTCCAAATAAACACTTTAACTGGCGGTCGTCTTATCTGACGAGTACATAACTTTTTCTACCCACTTAAAAAAGAGAAGAGCTCTTCCCAAAGTCAGATAAAAACTCAAATGGAGAATAAGTAAACCACGACCTCCGAGGGTCAGCTGTAATAAAACTAAGTAAATGCTCGGGCATGGCCTTTAATGCTGCCCCAGTGCCTGGCTGGGTCTGTGTCTCAGCTCTTCTCTTCTTTTGCTGCATATTTGTTTAACAATTAAACATTGCTGGAGAGTGGATTCTGTGTGTGTGTGTTTGTGTGTGTACGAAGATTATTATCATTAAGAGTTGGGTGAGTGAGTAACTGCCAAGCAAAGGGGCATGACAAATTGTGAGAGAAAATTGCAGTTGAAAATTGTCAGAAAACAGTGGAACTCGATCGATAAAGAGAACCAGCAGCAGATACCAAAAAATATACTTTCAGTGGCGTTAGGGGAAGATTTGTATTTAAATTTACATTTATAGCGGTTGATGTCAGTCTTCAAAAACTGTAAAAAGTATTTCCATTTTTAATTGAAATATTTTTCACTCTATTTCCATCTCTAGCTGCTTCACTGTAGCTGGTATCTGCATGGGTTTTTGGATCAACTCGCATGTTGGCTGTGCAGTTGCAGTTGGTTTACTTTTTCAATTTGTGTGCGTTGCATCCACATAATTGCCACATGGAGTTGCATGTGCAAGCGACTGCCGCCTGCCGCCCTTCAAAAACTGCATATGAGAGCTGTGAGGTGCCGTGACTCGACAGCCTTCTTCTTTGATGCCGCAGAGAGGATGTGGGAGAGAGCATTGAGGATGAGGATGATGCGGCTGACGGGACTGCTGGCTGCGGCTGTGGCTGCTGCTGCGGCTGCTGCTGCAGCTTCTGTTGCACGATGCAAGATGTGCGTGCAGCTGTTTGTTGTTGCATTGTCCCATGTTGTTTATAAGGTTGTTGTTGCTGTTGTTCTTTCTGTTGCTGTTGTTCTTTGACGGGCTGTCTCCACTCACAGTTGCTTTAATTATTGTCAGCCAAACTGTCGCGGCCGCTTGGCTCATGTGTAATTTGTTTGTGTCGTTGTGTCTTTACTTTGCCTTCGCTTCTGCTTTGTCTTTTTCTTTTACTTTGTTTATATTTTTTTATCTGTTTCCGACTTTTAATTAATTTATGTGTCTGTCATTTCGACCGAGGTGCTTAAATAGTGCGTTGCATTCAGAGTTTACAGCAATCGGCGGACCAAGGAGACAGGGCACAGGCACCGCCAGCTGTGGGCGGCACTTGAATCATATCATTATCTGCCGTTATGGCAGAGGCTTCAAGGCAAAAAACGTAACCAGTTGACACAGTTCCTAGTGGGCAATCGTTCAACTGTGGAACTGGTTCAGTTTTAATGGTTTTTAGAAGACAGCAGAACTCATTTTTAATGGCTAATTGTTGCAGTAATTGCTGGGAAATGATTGGTTGTTATTTTCAACAATTTTATATAGCTCTAAATAGCTGAGCTAAAAATATGTTCATTAAATTATATCACGACTCGTTACCGCACCACTTTTAATTATAATATCAACTGTCATTTAATGCCTTTGTCAAGGTACTTCCTCTCTCTTATAAACTTTAATTGAAGTAAACTAAATAAACAGTTTCCGTTTACTGTTTTCGGTTTAAAGTTCCACCAACTGTAACCTTCTTAATGGCCAACATCATTTAGCCTTCATTTTCAATTACTTGCCGTAACGAAGCGACGAAACCATTTATCAAAATCCCAAACTAGATAACTTAATTAAAGCACCCCGAAAAATCAATCTGCATATCTACATATAGGAGCGAGCAAGAGCCCTGACAAAATGTGAAGCTGAAACCCCCTTCCCACAGCCCTAAAGACCCTTCCTGAGAGCAGCAGCAGCAACGAACAATGAGCCAAAGCAACAACATCCGCTTATCTCGATAAATCAAAGCCACGAGTGCTGTTAATTTTCCAAGAAGATTTTCGGTTACATAGTTCGGGGGGGAAAATGGTCCCCAGAAAAACGTGATTGTGTGTGTGGCTGTGCGTGTGTGGGGCCATAAAAACAACTTGAATTTATGTTTTCACGGCAAAAAATTATCTTAAAGGGGGAGAGAGAGCCCAGCCCCTCAGATGTTGTTTCGCTGAAGTCATTGGAGTCATCTATTCCCCACTTCATGTGTGTGTTTGTGTGTGTGAGTACATTTC